GGCTGTGAAGTGGAAGGAAAATGTCACAAATTTGGCAATGTTATTTGTCAAAATAAAATCTGAGGTGCAGTTGTAATCAGTCCTCTTTACTCTGATACCCCTATGCATAACCCAGTGCAAAGCAAAGTTTAAAGTTAAAGTGAGACTAGATTATAAAACAACATCCCAAGCTTACAACATCTCACTGAGCTCTATTCAGTTTTTGGATTTTTATTTGGAAAAGGTTTGAATTGGATCATTTTCCACCCATTTCACAGTTCGCCACTACTTTATGGTCGTCACATAAAATCCTAATAAAATACGCTGAAGTTTGTGGTTGAAGTTAAATGCCCTGTTTATGCATGCATTACACAGGTAATTGGTGATTTTTGTAGGCTGCATGTATTTGCTAATGTTTGTTTGTGCACTGGAGACTGTTGAATTCCTTCCAGGATTCAAATTTCCCAGCTTCCAGTAAATCCTGTGAGATTTATTAAAAGCACTGCAAAATATCATCTACATCAACCACAAACACTCATGCACTGCACATATACTTCCACAGCACAGACATACATACCCAAGGGAGGTTGGAGCTTCAGTGAATATCCTTTACACTTTGAAAATAAACAAGCTGCACACACAGAAGTGAAAGATGAGGCAGAAATGGAGGAAGAAAGTGAAACGGTATGGATTTCTTTTAGTGTTTGTTTCAGGCAATTGCTTTAACCTCTGCAGAAGAAAAGTTAGAGGAAGAGGTTTTCTGTTGTCACCTTTGCTATGTCTGTCATATCCACCACTTTGCTCTCTGCCTTTTACTAAAACTGATACAGAATGGTGTGTATTTTTTCTGAAAAGGAATACTACCTAGGCTTAGTTGAAGATGTAAACTGCATTATCTTGTTTAATTTTTCTTCTCTCTTTGTTGCTTTTCCGCTTTACCTCAAATTCCTTCATTTTTTCCCCTAACATTCCTGTAACTTTTTCCCTTCAGTCTGTCCCTTATGTAAGTATTGACCTGCCCTTCTCCCTTTTTGCATAAGTTGCTTTTAACCTCCGAAACCTCTGTCTTCCTTTTCCTTGCTCTTCTTACACTTCAGTCTTTCCTTATCGTAAAGGTGCTCCTCCCCCACTACCACCTCGCATGTCAAAGTCTTCTCTATCTGTGCGAGCCCAGAGCAGTACTGAGTCCACCCAGGATGCCTACTTCCAGAGCGGCGGACAAATGGCTCCAGGCTCTGGCCCAGCACGCCCCAAGCAGCACAGCAACTCTGTAGACCTTGGTGGCTCTGAAGGGCCCTCAGGTCGCACCTCTAGGGGGGGCTACTACACATCCAGTGGCCCCAGTCGTTCCCGTCAGTACAGTAACTCTGCAGAGAGCCTAGATGGAGTCAGGGGTTCCAGGGAGCTGGTGCCCTATGGAGGGGGTCCGGCAGTGGGAGTGAGGGCCAAACATAGCTGCTCGGCAGACAACCTTCTGGAGGGACCGACAAGGCCAGCAAGGGAAAGGGACAGCAGGTTTGGCGGCAGCTTGGGAAAGTCGTCCTCCCTTCCTCAGAACAACATGATACTGAGTAAAGTCGGAGGGCAGGATGATGGGCGTGGAGGCAGGAAGTGGAGGCCATCCATAGCAGTGCAGGTGGGAATGAATAAATCTGTCTCTGTCTGTCAGGTTTTTCTTTACCTTTAAGGGAGATCAATAGGAATATATAGGGCTGTGAAAAATATTTCCCACATTACAGATTTATTTTATTTTATTTTTTTGCTTTTTTGTGAAACCTAAATCCTACAGATAAAACAAAATGTAATATCAGACATAGATAACCTGAGTAAATGCAAAATACAGTTTTAAAGTGATGATTTCATTTATCATTTATTATCAAGGATAAACCTGCTTAAAGTTTAGATCGAGATGTGATGTGTTGCTTTTTAAAATCATTTAGCCTACTTCGTCGTGTCAGACAGGTTCTTTTGAAATGAGTTCGTAATTCTTTATGTTTGGCAGTAACCCGTGCTGCTTGTGCCTTGTTAAACTGAGCTCAGCTTCCCAGATCACAAGGTTAATCACAGTTAGGTCATGATTTAACAAGAAGGTCAACTAGTTTTTCACTCAGTGCCATCATTGGAAAACTGCATTTTAAATATGATCTGAATAATTGAAGTGTGACAGAAAAAACTGAGAAGAACTCTTTTAAGGAGACAAATACTGTAATTTAATCTATTGTTCTGCATGATCTACATTGTCTATTTTACTGTGCTGCCACAATAAAATTTTAAATTAAATCTAAACTACAACTATTGCTAGTAGTCACTCTAAATACATAAACCTAAAGCCAGTTGAATATTTTTGATGAGACTCAGTGTACGTCATAGATTTCCATAGAGGCATAATATCAGAGCCAAAACGTCCGATTCTGTTTTATAGTCATTATTTGAACGCATTTGTACTCTACACGATAGAAGCCAGGGAATTCCTCATGCAGTCGATGTAAATGTGTTTTTCATAGATCAGCCCACTGCAGTTGTAGTTTTATTAATATTTTTATTTCTTCTTAGTGTGTTAAAATTCCCACCTTCCTAAAAAAATGTGTCACATTTCTTGTACTTCTAGCTGTGTCATTTTACGCCCTGACTGTGGTACTTGTCTATTCCTTTTTCCAGGTGGACAGTTCAGAGACTCTGTCAGATTCAGACACAGAGGGAAAGGCTCTCACCGAGGTGCACTCTATAGGAGTCCAAGTGGAAGATGAGAAAAGGTAAAAATAAGTGCATATAAAAAAAATAACCAAAGCAGTAAAAATGTATTCATCTGCAGAACTTTCTCGCAGCTTGACTTGTTTTGGTGACATTTAAGTTTCTGTCATCACGGACGACTCTCAAAAAACTCGAAGAGGGGCGTTCGTTTACCCTATAATTTATCTTTGTTCCAAAATATGCGGCTTCATCAAGAACGGCTGGTCTTTGTGGGGTAATTTATGTGAATAATTCTGATTTATATTCAGAAAAAGCCCTCATCTTCCCGTGCGCCCGACAGCGCAGCCATGTGTACGGCTGATTTCCCGTCTATGTCCAATTAATTCACTTAAGATTTCATCAAACAGCACAGCTTGAACTCGGAAACACTTCGTTCCAAGAATGCCTCTTTTTCTTTTTTTAAACCATGTGTGTAGCTATGACAACTACAAACCATACACTCAACATGGCTTTCACACATGATTCAGCTCTTCTCCCAATTATATCCAGCTTTGCCTACATGCATTTGAACACTCACATCATCGCACACGTTCAAACTTTTAGCTGCAGTCAACAAAGGTGACATCAGGACATCCTGCCCCGATGGTGTAAATCTGAGTCACGCAGCAGACTTGAACACACTGCAGAGACAGATGAGGGGAAGGTGGGGTCTAAAGTTGCAACAGTGTATACACTCATCAGTGAGCACACTGGCGTGACATTTGCACGCACCGATGCGTCATATGCCAGAGGATTTAGCAGGACACATCACAACCAGGCGAGCGGTGGTGACAGTAAGGCAATGCTCAATTTGGAAGTGAAACTATAAAAAGGTTAAAAAAAAAATTGAGAAAACTTTCTGTGAGTGATACTGTTTGATCAGATGGCTCTAAGCCTGCTGTGACTCATTGTGTCTTGAAAGGCGGGCCCGATTTAAGCGCTCCAACAGCGTGACGGCGAGCGTGCAGGCCGACCTGGACCCCGAGGGCTTGCCAGGACTTAGCGTTGCTGTGCCAACACAGGACAAGAGTCTTCAGTTTGGATGCTCCTTCCAGAGGCACTCATCAGAGCCAGAGTCTGCATCACAGTACACAGAGTGCCACCGCACGGTCCACACACAGGGCCAGTGGGGTTACAGAGAGGTGGGTCAGTGCCAGAATTCTTCTTGATGAAAGCTAACAGTCTTTACTTTGAATGATTCTTACCAAAGAATACTAAAGTGACATCCAAAGATGATCATACCCCTTGAATTTTCCCACACTCCCAAACTCCAATGAATTTTAATGGGATGAGACAGACCAACAGAAGGTTTAAGGCACTTTAGGCACTAGCTAGGTTATTAAACAGTATCCCAAATTATGAACATCTGACATCCATCTTCCAAAAAGAGAAACTGAACAACTGCAAGCCACCTAATCTAGCTGGCATTAACTAGAGATGCATCCAATCAGCTGCCGAGATTCACAGGTCAGGCAGGAGAATCTGTTGACATGACAACCGTACATCATGTACTCCACAAATCTGGTCTTTATGGAGAAGTAACAGGAAAAAAAAAGTTGTAGAAATAAAACCATAACAAGATATGTTTGAAGTTTGCTACAAGCCATGTAGATAACATAACAAACGTGGAAAAAAGTCCTGTTCTTGCAAAAAATGCAAACCATACACCCCAAAAACAACATCACCACTGTGAAACGTGGTAGTTGAAGCATCATGCTGTAGTGAAGCTATTTTTTTTCAGCAGAGACAGGAGAGCTGGGAGAGGTAATGGGTAGATAGATGGATAATTGTGGAAGGAAACCTGCAAAAACTGAGGCAGAGGTTTACCTTCCAGAAGGACAACAACTCTAAACAAAGCCAAAGCTAGAATGGTAATGTTTAGATCAGAGTATGTTCAGGTGTTAGAACGGCCCACACCTAAATCAAATTGAGAATCTGATGCAGAAGTTGATAATAGCTCTTCACAGATACTCTCAATCTGTGTTATTTAAAGTCATATTTAACAAGTTAGAGCAAGTGTTTCAACGAGGCTCGTTTGTCAGATTAAAGGAACCGGTTGAAAATGGCAACCTTTAACCAGGTATTCAACAGGTTTTCATAAAACCAGATTTATGTATTAAAAATTTGTTTTTTATCGGTCTGATGTAATATTCTAATCTTAAATGTTGTATTTTCATTATTTCGAAAACCATCATAATTAACAGAAGCAAAGACTTAAAAACTATGGAAGCAAATCGTTACCATATTTCACATGAAAAAGCATTTTCAGAAATCCTTTTTCATTTTAGGGCTGCACGGTGGTGCAGTTGGTTGCACTGTTGGCTTGCAACAAGAAGGTCCTCGGTTCAATTCCCAGTTGGGGCTCTTTCTGCATGGAGTTTGCATGTTCTTCCCGTGCATGCGTGGGTTCTCACCAGGTACTCTGGCTTCCTCCCACAGTCCAAAGACATGTCTGTTAGGTTAATTGGTAACTCTAAATTGCCCTTAGGTGTATGAATGAGTGTGTGCATGGTTGTTTGTGTGTTGCCCTGCGATGGATGGTGACTTGTCCAGGGTGGACCCTGCCTCTTGCCCATAGACTTCTGGAGATAGGCACCAGCTCCCCCATGACCCACTATGGAATAAGCGGTAGAAACTAACTGACTTTTTCATTTTAAGAATGTGGCTGCATTGTTTGACTCATAAATGAAATTAGTAATCAATAATCCTATTTGCATTTTAATTTTCTTCTTCAAGACTGCTCATTCTTTCACTTCATTAAAATGAAAAAGAAAAAGACATTTGAGATT